CTCTGTATTTTTTTTCTATAAATCCTAACTGCCCCCCAAAATGTCTTAATCTTAAGAAAACTGCAACTGATTTTGCCTTTCTCTTGGCCCCATTTTCAGAGTTATAGACTGCTTAAGATAGTAATACTAATACCCTGGATCATAGGTAATCAGAGGCTTCTTAAATTCTAAAAATATTCATACAGTCCCTGACTTAGGATGATTTGACTTATGATATTTTTGACTTTATATGGTGCAAAATATTTTTGTATATTACTGGTGCAAAAACATTCCATTTTCCATGTTCATATAGTATTTGATAAATTACATGAGATTCAACACTTTATAGTAAAATGGGCTTTGTGTTTGATGATTTTGCCCAAGTGTAGGTCTTCTAAGCATGCTTAGTAGAGTAAGCTAAGCTCAGATGTTCAGTAGGTTAGGTGTATTCAGTGCATTTTTAAATTTATGATATTTCCAACTTACAGTGAATTTATTAGGACATAACCCTATCATAAGTTAAGGAGCATCTGTATATAGTTGTGGTTAAGTACAATATAGCAATTTCACTCATTAAAAGGGCAAGAACTTTTAAAAAAATTTTAATTTGTTATATATGACAACAGAATGCATTACAATTCACATTACACATATAGGGCACAATTTTTCATATTTATGGTTGTACACAAAGTAGAGTCACATCCTTCATGTCTTCATATGTGTACTTAGGGTAATGATGACCATTGTATTCCATTGTCTTTCCTACTCCAAGAACTTTTTAATTCTAATGTTTTTAGATTCTTCAGTCACAGCATTTGTAAGTATTTCATCGGTCATTGTAATTATATATAGTAGTGGGATTCGTTGTTACATATTTGTACATGCACACAATAGAAGAACACAATTTGGCTATTTTGTTGCCCATTATTATTAATTTATAAATTGCCTTTATAAAACTTCAAATGCAGTGTTTAGTTGAAAGGTGCTATGGAAATATCTTATTATGAATCATTATCTAACAACTAGGTTCCATTAAGTAACCATTTATTTAAGTCATTTGGTCTGTCTCAAAAACTTTATTTGTAACAGCCACATTAGTCACATATTCTATCATGAGAATATACTATGATTTAATTATCATCCTATAGTTGGACATTTGTTAGAACCAATAATAGGCCTTCTATAATGCCTGGCTTAAATATTTTAAAAATGATAGCTATGCACTGCCATCTAAGTCCAAAAAGTCTCTGACTCTATCCTGTATGCTAAGTAGGGCCATGCATGGTGTGTTGGAGACTGGGGATAGTGGATTCTCCAGCTAACCCTTCCTTCTATATTCTATTGCCCATTATCTAGGGTGGTTGCTGGGTCCCTATGCATATTAGTAAGAAGTTTAATTATTTGCTCCTCTGTTCACTGATAAAATATTACTTTTATTTATAGTTTCTGATAGCCTTTTTAAGGTTTGTAACTGTTGTTAGATGAAGTCCAAATGACTTACACATAGGGAATTTGTAAGCAATGTTTAAGTGAAACAAACAATAATTAGGGATGTTAATATTATGAGAAACTTTTTTTATGGTGTGGGAGATCAAACTCAAACTCAAGGCCTCACATGGTTTTTTTTTCCTCTTTTTTTGCTTTTTAAAGCTTTCAAAAAGTTCTATATTAGAAAATGGCATAGTATGGAGTTGGCCTGGATTCAAGTATTTTTTTCCACCACCTGCCTTAGTCTCAGTTAACTTTCATTTAAAAATATATAATTATGAAAAATCTGGTATGCCAAAAGTAGTTGATAGACATGAGAATTATTTATATTTGTACATACTAGATAAATCTATAACTGTTAATTCAAGTTTACTTAATATGAGGGTCTGAGAATCATAATTTGAAGATGAATATGTAGCAAAATATGAGATTTGAATTTTATTTTATTTATTTACTTGTTTGTTTGTTTGGTGTTTTGAACCCAGGGGTGCTTAACCACTGAGTTATATCCCCAGCCCTTTTTATTTTTTATTTTGAGACACAGTCTCATTAAGTTGCTCAAGCTGACCTTGAACTTGTGGTCCTCTTTCCTGGACCCAGTCTCTGGTATTATAGACCTGCACTACCATGCCTGGCATGTCATTTGAATTATAAATTGTCAATAGACAGTAAGACTTCAGGTAGAGAAAACAATTAAATTGCACAAAACTTAAAAGTTTTAATTATAGCTTTCGCTTTACATAAATTAGGGTCACAATCATTAGAAGACATTGTAAAATATTCTGCTCTTAAATTTCTGCTTGTTACTGGTTTTATTTTCTTTCTACATTTTTATGCTTTCTTTCTACATTTTTATGCTTCTTATATATCTACTAGTTATATTACTCATATGTATTATATACCTGTCACATCATAAGTATTCCTTGTTTTTTTAATCTTGTATTTTCCTCAGGCTAATTACTTTGTTATCCTCCCTGGATAAGTCTTCTGTTCATTTTTATTAATTTTTTTATCCTATCACCTAGCCATCCCTTTTCTGGGCATATACTCAAATAATATAAAATTTTAAAGATATCTCTATGAACATTATTCACAATACCCAAGTTATGGAAAGAACTTGGATGTTTAAAGGCAGACAAATATATCAAGAAGATATGCTATGTCCACACATTGCACATGCATGAGCATGCATTGGGTATATGTGCCTATGTGCA